GAAGGCAGAGAAAAGATTGTGCAAGAATCTACTGGCAGTAACCACTTTCCCACAGAGAGAAGAAGCTGTCAAGACTTGTACATTCTCTCTGGGAAAGAAGGACAGGCAGAGATCTCTTACAGGGGGAACAGTAATAGTCTCAGGGGAACTGAGCTTCAGATGCAGCACACTAAAAATAAAAAACTTCACAATGGAGAAGTGTAAGAGGACAGGGGACTGGAGCTTTCCTGACTGAAGCTGCTGCTCTAACTGTGGAGCCCGCAGCTGTGAACTCTCCCTACAGGCGCACTACGGCGGCCTCGCAGCCCGTCCCAGTGGCCTAACCAGTTTGTCAAGGGCGGGTCGGCTCCCAGGGCTGTGAACGACAGGGCGGGGCCCCCTCCCAGCCCGAGCCCCGTCAGTTTCCCATCACCCCCCCACGCCCTCCTCCGTCTCGGGAGACCATGCCCGCGCTCTCGCTGCCCCGGCAGTGTCTTGCGGCGAACGTGCACGTGAACCCGGAGCCGCGCGAGGCCGTTCGTTCCGGCAGGAAAAGAAAGCGCTGAAACAATTCGGTGGCTCTGCCGCCTTCAGGCCCAACTGCTCGTTCAGCTGTAGACGGGTAACGCGACACTAATCCGCCTGGGGCGGACCCTTTCCTGATTCCTCGACCGGCAGGGCTCTCAGGAAGCTCGCTGTATTCTTCTACTCGACGAGACACATTCCTCCAGCCCCACGGCCTGCTTCCCCGGCCCGAGAGCTGGGACTCTCCTTTCATCAAGCGCCGGTCACCAGGCTCGCACAGCTGAGGCTCGGAGGTTCGTTTCACCTTTGACGGAATCACAGTCGTGTCGGCAGCAAGCTGGGGTTAAACCCGACTCTCAGAGGTACGTCCAGTCGGGGGGCTAGAGCACCTCCGCGGGGCCAAGCGTCTCGGGACACTTGCCACCTGCATGAGATCGGCACGCTAACTCGGGAAAGGTGCACTGATGTTTGAAATAACCACCGACGCCAGAAAAGGCATCAAACTCGTTAACACTGGAGCAGTAGGAGCTGTAGGGCAGGCCCATTCCCAGCTGTGCCGTCGGAGTTCAAGACCTCAGACATCCCCACCCCCGCACAGCTGCTGCTGCTGCTTCAGGGGACAGAAGAGCAGTTTGTACAGGTGCTGCTCATCCATTTAACCACAATATTCCTGTCATGACCTTCAGAACCTCTTGAGCTCAATCTGGCCTGCAGTGCCCACAACTGACTGTTCTACCAGTCTGGCCCTGAGGGGCACAAGATCACGCTCCAGACTGCAGGGACAGCTGACTGCTCTGCCAGTCTGGTGGAGAGGGGCACAAGATCACACTCCAGACTGCAGGGACAGCTGATCGCTGTGCCAATCTGGTGGAGAGGGGCACAAGATCACACTCCAG